ATAATTTTAACATTTGTCCATTGTATAACAAATAGTACCATTTGAAGTACAAGTCATCATTTAATTATTACAAATAGAATGTGTAGTTCCTACTAAATCTTCACATATTTATGCTCTACAAGATCCATCCCATTTACAAATTCCAGTGGATTAAATTTTATTATTTACATAAATAGTTCCTTTGAGATCTAAATAACATTATTCTTATATTTTGTAATCTTTACAAACAAGTAATTCAATACATTAAGTTCCATCAGTTGTACAACTATTATTAGCTTAATAACAATCTGCATGAGTTTTGAATTTAGCATCAGCACATTTATTAAAATTAGTGCAAACTTTAACATTTTTATCATTTAATGTCATAATACATTTACCTTCAATACCTTTAAAACATCCTCCATTAATATTAGTTTGACTACATTCAGTAATAGAAACACATTTATTACCATCAGTAGTACATTTATCACTTATTTATTAACATTCTTAATGTGTTTTAAATTTAATACTAGTACAATCTCTATATAAATAACATTATCCATTAACCCATAAACAAGGACCATCTCCTCCCATTATACATGATTATGCATTTACATATTAACTACAATAAACAATTTCAATACATTTACCCAAACCATTAGTAGTACAATTACTATTTTATTTATTACATGATTTGTAATCAACACCATTAAAATCAATACATGATTAATTTCTACATTATTATAAAGTTTCATCCCAACTACATATTTCTCCATATTTTGAAATATTACATGCTGCTTATACATTTGCAGCTTAACATATAGATTTGATTGTACATCCTCCACCTAATTTAGTAGTACATCCATCATAATATTATTAACATTAAGTTTCAGTTGTTAATGAAGTTGGTGCAGTAGAACAATTTCTTAATGTACATGTCTTTGATACATCAATCCATTAACAAAGATTACCAAACATATCTTTTTTACATCCTTATTCTGCAATAGCCTTATTACATTCTAATCTTTCTATACATGTCTTTCCATTTGTTGTACAATATTAATTTTATTAACTACATTCTTCATCTGTAGTATATTCATACTAAGAACATGTTTTTGTACTGCAAAAGTTACTATCAAAAGAGCAACCTTCAAAAGGCAAACTTTTACAATTTGATTCATTATATTCACTCAATATAGCATTTTCACATGTCTTTACAATGCAACTACTTGATAAAAATACACATTTAGGATTAGAATTACATATTGATGGTTCTTAAATCTATATACATTCAGGAAATTCCATACATCCAATATTTGTACTTGTATTTAAAGTACAATTACTCATAAATGATTAACATTCTTCATGTGTTGTTGAAACTGTATCTAAAGAACATTTCTTTTCATAACAATTATTATTAGACCAATAACAATCTTTTTATAAATTACTAATAACACATTATTATTAGTTTTTATAATTAGAACATTATGTTAATTCAATACAACCATTATTATTAATATTTACAGTACATTTATTTCCTGTTGTCATATATTTATAACAATCAGTATGATTAGTAGCTTCACTAGTTGTACAAGATTTCTTTTGACATTGACTATTCTTATAAACACATTCATAACCATTTTTATCTAATTAATCACAATTTAAATTATTATATGATGAACATTCATCTTTATTTGTACATCCTTAACCTGTATTATTTAATATACATCTAGATATTGCTTATTAACATTATGTAGATGAAGTCAATGTATTTGGTAATTAAGTACAATCATCATTATAACATATTTCATTAAATAAAACACAATTACCTTTATTATTAATTCTTTTAATGCATTAAGTTGGATCAGTATAACTATTACATTCATTTTATAATGTAAGTTCTACACAATCATCACTATCATCCAAATAACAATATTTACTAATCAAATCATAAGAAATATTTGCTAAACAATATTCTTTAGGTAATAATGTACATGTAGTTGGAACATCCATACATGAAGTTTTAGTTTCATTATTGATACATTTTTTTGGAGTCTTATATTATGCACAATCAGTTTTTTGATTACTACATTATTTAGTAACACATTTATTGTTTGTCCATGAACATATATCTAATGTACAATTTTATTGTATCTAACTATCTTCACATTTTGTGATTTCAGGTATACATCCTTTTTCTTAATTATTGACAACACATCCAGATAAATATTATTTACATTTTAAAGTTGTATTATATGAAATATCAGCTAAATTACATTATCTTACTACACAAGAATTTCCTTACCATTCACATGCACTAGTAACTGATTGAACACATTATAATTTTTATTTATATAAATTACATGTTTATAACATAATTGAACATCCTTATCCTGATGGAGCAAGTGTACATGTATTTTAATATTAAAAACATTATTAATGTGTTGTATAAGATAAAGGAGCAGTAAAACATGTTTTAATGAAACATGTTTAACGATGATAACATTGTTAATTTTATATACATATGTTATAATCTTAAACATTATCACATGTATAATTAATACAATTAGTAGCTTATTAATTGATTGTACATGTTTACATAAATTCATTACATTTAGAATGATCAAGAGTAACAGGTAATTAACTTTATGATTCTTGATCATATATAGTTTTAGGAATATTACTACATATTTTTAATTAACATTTTTCATTATTCCAAAAACAAGGACGTTATTAATTATCAACAAGACAACCAATTTCTAATTGAATTTCTTCACATGTATTTATTGTTACACATCCACCATCTTTTTTTGGTATACAAGTAATATTATGATATTCTTAACATCCCATAAGAGTAGTAACAAATACAGGTGCATTTTCACAAGTTCTATTTTCACAACCTTATTTAAGAGAATTTACAGTGCAAGTTGATAAAAATTTACTACATTATTCAAATGTAGATAAACTTTAAGGAGCATTAATACAAGTTCTATCTTTACATGATTAAGTAATAGAATCCCAAAAACATTATTCTCCTCTTAAATTCTTTTTACATGCATAATCAACATTTGCAATAGAACATTCTCCATTAGTCATACAACCACCACCTGATTTTGTTATACAATCTTAACTAATTGATTAACAACCAACATTAGTTACAATATCTTTTGTTGCATTATTACATAATTTTTATTTGCAATAACCATCTACCCAAAAACAATCATTTCCAAAATAATCTTTAATACATGCATTTTTTGTATTAGCTGCATCACAAGATGATCTTTAGACACAACCACCATTCATTTGAGTTGTACATTATTCTAAAAATTATTTACATTATTCATCTGTTTTCATAGTCACAGGAGCATTCTCACATATTTTTATTTTACATTAAGGAGGATTAAGAGAACTATCCCAAAAACATTATGAAGATTAATCTTTATTATAAAAACATTAGATCTCAAGAGTAATATCAGAACAACTCTAATAAGCATCAATACATCCACCACCTGGTTTAGTTGTACAAGTGGAAATCTATGATCTACATTTAGCATCAGTATCTAAAGCAGATGGTTAAGATTAACAATCTAGAGCTTTTGAACATCTATTAATTTTTGTATCCCAATTACAATATCTTTAATTTACATCCATAAAACAAACAATTGGATCTGTATAATCGATACATTCACTTAATTCAATACATTTTTTAAGATCTGATTTATAACATCTTTTATTTATGGCTCTGCATTCCCTATCAGATGTTAATTTATATGCAGTACACCCTGTAAAGAAGGTACATTTAGCATTATCCCATTAACAAACATCGTCTAATTGACATTACTATTCATTTAAGTAACTACAATAAGTAATTGATTTAGATTAAGTTATAGTTTTGACATCACATGTTTAATTCCAAGAGCAAGAATTATTTTTTATACAATCATTTTAGGATAGTTATTGACAAGTACAAGATCTTGAAGTTTCAATAATACTACAATAACATAATCCCAAGATGATGGTCAAAATTCCTATGATTATCTTCATGTATATAATAAATTTAATAATCATTATTTCTTTGGCAATAACCCTACATAAACGCTTCTGTAAAACTCTGAAGCCAAAGAAGCTCCTGAAAAAGGACCAAATATATAGATCCATATATTTATCAATCTATCCCAATTACCATCTTATAATGATTCAAAGATACCTAATCCAACTCCCATAGCTGGATTCAAACAACCTATTATCTCTTATATCATTTATACCTCCAGTATGATATGTCAAAATCCTACCAAAATATAGTGCCGTTGCAATTATTCCAATTCCTATCAATTTATTTTCAGTTAATTATGTTTATGGATGAACTTGAATATGAATAAACAAACAAAATACAAATGTACCCAAAGCCTTAATTTATCATATCATATAATATATACTTCTCCACAAAAATCTGCCACCATCCATTGTATTGGTTAAGTCTCTATATATGGAGATGTAACTCTTCCTACAATCACAAAAGCAGCCAAAGCTCCTGCTATTGCACCACCAACTTATGCTGCCCAATAAATTCTCATTGTAAATGCACTTATCTCATTCAAACTATAAAATGACATTGAAACAGCAGGATTCACATGTCCTCCTGTAATCTTACCAATTAAAAATATTGCTCCAAATAGATATACACTTAACATGACATCATTTCCTCTTGAACATACTATTCCATAAGCAAAGAATGCAGTTCCCAATGCTTCCCATATTAATATTCTTATCAATTCACTATAAGGTTTATCATCTATTGTATTTTTCAATTTAGATTCTAATGCTTCTATTTTCCTTATCAATTCATCCTTCTCATTATCCTAAACTTCAAATTAATGTTCATCAAAATTGCCTTAATTCTTTTTCTATTATGTATATTATATGCTCTATGAATAAGGCACTTCCTCTTATAAGAGCCTATCTTCTGACATTAAATATGATTTATATTTATAAAACTCATATTATAATTCAATAATAAAACATCATGGTATTGTAGATATATGTTCTGTATTTACAATTCTGTCACTAATTTCTGTCACCTATGTACTTGCTTATTCTTCTAAAATAGTGAGTTTTTCATATCTATTTTTATAAAATACTAATATAATCGATAATCCAACTATTTTTAGTATTATAACACCTACAATTATCAAGAATAATTTAGAATTTTCTTCATAAATATAAACTTCCAAACCTTCGAAACTAAAATTTAAATCAGATTCACATATAATGAATGGACTCTCATTATCATATTTCATGGATGGGCATTTCTAAGATTTTATTCTCAATTAATAAAACTAAATTCTAATAATTTCATACTTCTTTTGTAGAATCTTCAGCCACACATAATACCCAAGGAGATATTTAATTTAATACAAATAAGTTGACCTCCTTCCCTGAAATAGAAACCATATATGTTTCATCATATTATAATTTTATTGATTATAAGAGTCCATTCTCAAATGGATATCCAAGTTTTATTTATTTATTCCAAGGTAATTTTAAACTATTCACTTAAATTAAATCAATTTAATTGAAATAGAACTAGTTTTCATTTTCATTTTATCTTTCATAAAATCTATGATAAATAGAATTATCAATTATTGAATGTAAATCATTCCCTATTAAAATGGTTAATTTCTCATCAACATGTAAATCATAAACTTCTTATTCATATGATGTAATCTTATTGAAATAATGTTCTTTCTTATCTAAATCAAAAAACAACTCCAAAACATATGGAAGTTCATCCTCTGTCTCTAATAAAATAAACATAATATCTCGATAAAAATCAAATGCTCTACCCCCTTTGATTTAAATGTTCTAATCACTCATTATTATTTCACCTTTCGATATATTAATTTCATATATAAAAATGCCTGATTGTTAATCAAGAATGAATATATGTGTTCCATTATAATTAGTTTTCACTTACATCAAATTGGCTTCTTTAATTGGAATCAAACTTTAAAATAAACTTAAACTTCCATCAAGAAGTAATTAATATACTTAAATTTCTAGTTGGCTCAAAACTAATAGTAATCTATTTTAATTGTCTAAATAGACATCTATAATCTTTGAACTTAATTCTACTATTACTTAATTAATAACCAAAAACTTATTTCTTCATATGTTAACATAATTTACTCTTCATTATTAAATTAAAAATATATTGTACCTAGTTATGTCAAAACATAACAGTGTACAATCTAAACATTATTTTGATAACATTTCAGTACAGGATCTTATATTTATTAAGTTTCAGACTTATTATTTAATATAGTGTTTAAATTTATATGGGATACTTATTACAAATCAACAATTTCTTATCTTTCTAAATCATATGATATTTTCATTATAAATAATTTAAGATCGCTTCTTAATATAAATATATTCTAAGTAGATGAGTAAAACGAACTTATATTCCCTTACACAGTTTCAATTGTCTCATTATCAAATAATGGAATGAGATTAAATAATTTTTAATATTATATATCTCGATCATAAGGGTGACATCCAGAATTTAAATGAGAGTTTTATGGATCATCTTTGGCTACCTATATATAATTTTCTTGATTCAATTATTATAATGATATATCAATTATACCAAAGTAACTAATGATGTTAATAAATACTTTATAAATTGAAGTATGAAAGATGAATTGACATTTGTAGAATATTATTCATCATGAATTATTTCCTTAATGATTCTACTGGTTGGAGATGTCGATCTATATGATGACACTTATGGAAAGTTGTAGACTAAAAAAATTATAAAATACAACATATAAAAATTTATGTATAATAATTTATATTAAAATACAACATTAATCAATAAATACCTAATAATTTATACTACTCTCTTAAATAATAATTAATATATATAAAATATAAGGAATGGAACTTGGATTATAAATAAATACATTAAATTAGATTGAATAATTATTAATCTTGAATTGTCAAAATTAACAAATTTTAGAATAGAATCATCAATTTTACACATAATTACAAAAACAAATATTTTTGCTGTTAGCAAGATTAAAACAAAAAAAAAATGATAAAATTTTAAGAATTGGTTTCACAACATTTGTGATATTATTATTTATTTTCTTTGTACTATCAGCCTTTATAAGGATCCCACCTTTATTGTTGGGAATATTTATAAGTTACATAGTAGTGTTCATTTTAGCAGCAAAAAAGGATCGCTTTATTTAATATATTTAATATCACTTTCAATTGATCAATAAATAAATCCTCCAAATTTCCTAAAAGTTAGATCTATTAAAGATGAAAGAGATATATTATAATTTGTATAGAGAGAAGTATTAAAGTAGAATTATAGAACTGCAATAAGAAATTTAAGAATGAAAAAGTATATATTATTTATACTAAACTTAAAAATTATGTTAAAAAAATTTTAGTATGATTTGTTTGTAATTGGAGGAGGAGCAGGAGGTTTAGCATCTTCAAAAGCCTCAGCATTATTGGGGAAAAAAGTGGGAATGGCAGATTTTGCAACACCAAGTCCTCATGCTACAACCTGGGGAACAGGTGGTACTTGTGTAAATGTTGGGTGTGTGCCAACAAAATTGATGCCATTCTCAGCAAGAATGGGTGAAATAAGGAAGGATTAAATAGCAGCAGGATATTAGGGAATAGAAAGTGAAGGGAATCATAATTGGAAATAGTTGATTGAAACAGTATAAAAACATATCAAAGAATTAAATGTGCGTTAGGAAAGTTCTTTAAAAGATCATGGTATCGAATATTATAATAAATTTGCTAAATTTATTGATCGACATACTATAGAAGTAAAAATTAGATTTTAATGATGTATTTTTATAGCTTACAGATTTAAAAGGAGAGAAAGAAATAATAAGTGCAAAAAATATTATAGTTTGTGTTGGATCAAGGCCTATGTTATATGAAGATCCAAAATTAGTGATAACATCAGAGGATGTATTTCAATAGACTACTCCTCCAGGAAAAACATTAGTCATTGGAGCTTCATATGTAGGATTAGAATGTGCTGGATTCATTCATGGTTTTGGATATGATACTACTGTATTAGTAAGAACTAGAGTAATGAGAAATTTTGATTAAGAGATGGCTTCAAAAGTTGAAGGATATATGTCAGATAATGGAATAAAATTTGTTAAGAGAGCTTTATTGTAATCAATTAGTGCAGTAGATAATGGTAAAAGAAGATTAGTAAAATGGGTACGTGATGGAGTAGTAGAAGAAGATATTTATGATACTGTATTATATGGTATTGGAAGATAAGCATCAACTAAATAATTGAATTTAGAACCAATTGGTGTTAAGATTGATGCTAGAAATTATAAAATCATAGCTGATGATTATGATAGAACTACAGTAGATAATATTTATGCTATTGGTGATTGTTGTTTGAATAGATTAGAGTATACACCTATTGCTGTTATGGCTGGTAGGAAATTAGCTAAGAGACTTTATGGAAATAGTAATGAAATTATGGATTATGCTGATGTGGCTACTACTATTTATACTCCTATTGAATATGGCTGTATTGGATTATCAGAAGAAAGAGCATAATAAAAATATGGATAAGATGGAATTAAAATTTATAGATCTCATTTTAAACCTTTATAATGGAGTTTTAGATAAAGAGATGATGCTAAATATTGTGGAGGCAAATTGATTGTTCACAAAGAATCAGATAGAATCATTGGATTTCATTATGTTGGACCTGAAGCTGCTGAGGTAACATAAGGATTTGCTGTAGCTATGAAAATGAAATGTACAAAAAGAGATTTTGATAATACTGTTTCTATTCATCCTAGTTTAGCAGAAGTATAATAAATAATTATATATATAGGAAATGATTTTAATGAAATGAAAATTTTAAATAAGTTTAATTTCTATCTTAAATAACATTTATTATATCAATTAACGTATTTTGGTGTTCTTGGTCTACCTAATGGAACATTTTTTTTATCTTATGATTTAAGAATTTGAAATGAACACATTAAAGTTTCATCTACACTCATTAATGCTCCTATTTAAATAAATTATATTAATTTTATACCTGAATTATCAAATTCTCCACAATAATTTGGAGCTGAAAATAATGTTACTAATTGTCTTTTTGCAAAAAATTCATATCCTTCTTCTACAACTTAATGAGCTCTACAAACTAAATCCATATCATTCTTCTTCAAAAAATTAGCTATTACATCAGTTCCAAATATATATGAAACTCCTCTCTCGTTATCTTTATTTTATTTTAAATTAAAAATTACCTTACCAACCTTGAATATCCTTTTCTGGATCTGACCATAATAAATCACATAATAATCCTGTATCTGGTACTTCTATTGGTCTCATTATTCTATGAATCTACTCTAAATTTGATAATTCTGGTGAAAGTCCTCCATGCATACAAATTATTTTCTCATCTATCACTGCACATACAGGTAAACAATTAAAAGAATCAGTAAAAGTTTTCCACAATTTTATATTATACCTTCTTTTACATTCATCATAAAATCCATATATACGGTTTATTTATGAGCATTCATGATTCCCTCTTAATAAAAAGAAGTTTTCAGGGTATTTTATTTTATAAGCCAACAACAAACAGATTGTTTCTAATGATTGTCTTCCTCTATCTACATAATCTCCTAAAAATAAATAATTAGCTTCAGGTGGAAACCCTCCATATTCAAATAGTCTCAATAAATCTGTGTATTATCCATGTATATCACCTACATATGTTTAACATTTTACCACATATCTTTATTGGAGCTTCCAATTCTAGCAACATTGGCTGACTTAAAAATATTTCTCTGCTCTTTACACACAAAGAACGTATTTCATTTTCTGTTAGATTTACAGCTTTCCCTTATTTAGCTCCTTTGCTTTCTAAAAGTTTTTCAATTATCTTGATACTTTTAAATTACTTACTTTATCGACATCGATATCCATTATTATTAATATAAATTAGAAAAATAATCATTTTTTCAAGTATTTCTTTTATAATTCATTTATAATATATATATGATTTGATGAATTAAATACCTATTTTACAATTATCATCAACTAAATCACTGATTTTTATTACAATTAAATATTATTTTTAATTATATTTAATAATAAAGTATTTCATGATTATAAATTTCTCTTAAGCTAATCCTCTTCCATCTAAATTAATTTAGCTACTTTATAATAATGATATTTTTCTGCCATTTACCTTGCTGTTCTACTTGCCTAATATGAATTTTATAATTTACATAATCAATTGCAAATACATCAACCTTATAATTTATCAATTCTTAACAAATGTCATAATAATTACGTTTAGCAGCTAAATGTAATCCTGTTTATCCTATCTAAAAATAAATATTTAATTTACAAAATCCTTTGTTTATATTAAAGTTTCATCTTAAATTAACATTAATTTTAAAGTTGATATATCATTATTTTTTATTGCAGTCAAATAATCATTTTCCATTTTATCTAATTTTCTTACAATTACATGTTATTTTAAACAGTTTAATAATTTATTCTCCAATTATTCATCTGAAAATTTCAATTAAGAAATTGTTCTAAGTTTATATAGTATTATAAAATTTACTCCATTAAATTTTATGCTTAATCATTCTAATAATTTATTTCTGGTATTTCATGATTTAATATTTCTCTATAAGTATATCTACTACCATTATCTACAAATTAATAAGGAATATTTAAGTCTTCATATTAAATGTCCTTAATTTCTGGTTCTTATCCAATAGTATTGCTGTAATATTTATTATAAAGATTAACTTATTCTTTAAAATCTTTAAAAGCACTAACACTAATTTTATCTAAATTTTTTAAGTCAGATTGTAACTTTTATTGATTTTCATTAAGCATACTCTTTTTTTTTAATTAGAATTATGTTTCTCTCATTTTCTTTTCTTGTTATTATTTTTTAGTTTCCATCATATTAATTTAT